TGTGTGTGTGTGTGTGTGTGTGTGTGTGTGTGTGTGTGTGTGTGTGTGTGTGGTTTTCTGGGACTTGAACCTAGAACCTCTTGCATATTTAGTCAAGCACCCTACTCTACAACTCAGGGTCTTGTTAAGTTGCTCAGGCTAACCTCAAAGGCTAGTCTTGAACTCATTGTATATCTCAGCCATGACTTGTGCTTTTAATCTGCCTGCCTGGACCCTTCAAGTAGCTGGGGTTACAGGCCTGCACTATCGGCCTCAGCGAAGAGCAAGCTTGCAAAGTAAAGTTATCAGTGGAAAAATCTCTTCCTTTTCACATGTTCATTTTTCCTTTCCCTCTCTTCCTGCTCCTTTTATCATCCTTTGATTTTATTCATACATAGATAGTCTTTTTATATAGCCATGGCTGGCCCCCAATGCATGGCAATCCTCCTCCCTCGGATTCCCAAGTACTGGATTGTAAATGTGCTCCTCAGCGTTCTTAAAGTGAGGATTGAAAGGTAAAACAATTCTTCCTTCAGTAACGCAGTCTCCTGGCTTCTCTCCCTTTGGAGTACCTTTGTCTTTTTTCCAAGCCTATGAGGATTGAGGATTATTTCAACAAGGAAGTTATATGATGTCTCTTGGCCTCTAACCAAAGCTACACAGAATTGAGTTCACTGCATTAGGGCTTGTGGGAACAGGCTTGTCAAGTTCGCAGTTTTGTATTTGGTGCCTTTCTGCTTTTCTTTCCTTCTGCACCTCCCTGGTCTCTAAGATGTGCTGTTACTCCATAGTGAATTCCATTTGTTTACTTAGCTGGCATTTCCCCAAGGAATGAAATGACAAAATTATATAAATAATATATAATTTTATATAAAAAGATATAATTTATATATACAATTTATAGAAACTATATAAAATAATAAAATTACACATATATTAACTCTTCTAGAGTGACACTCTTTGGGAGCACTTACGGGGAATGATTGAAGAAAGAAAGAAATTATTGAAGTAATGGCAAGTCATAGTAGGGTTGATAGGTTGAACTGTAATAGGTACTTCTTCAGGAGCGATGTAACTGAGGGTTCTGACCATAGCCATGTACTGACAGGTATGAGGGAGAACCCAGAGGACAGCCCTGCAGCTCTCACTCCCGCTACTTTCCCTGCTGTTGAGATGCTTGGGACTTACCTCATCAATTCCATGTAGACAAGGGTGTTGGGGGCGCAGGGGAAGTGGGAATGCTGCCAGTCCAGCAGATGCTGCTTTTCCACCTTGGACTGAAGGCTTCTCTGTACTCTGTGGGAACATTAAAAACAAAACAAAACAAACAAACAAACAAACAAAAAAACCCACAGCACCCCTGGATACTTCAGGTTAGGTCAGAGTGCTGCTATCATGGGAGATATATAAAATGACATTTGAGAGAGAAAAGGAGCCGAATCAGAGATCACACAACTCATACAATTTTGCATAGCTGTTTATGTTAAATTGCAATGTGGGTTTTACATCGGTAAACCCCTTTAGGTTGAAAATACTATAAATGAAAAATGTATTTCATGCCCATAACTCACAGCACATTCCTAGGCAGGCTGCTCAGGAACATCTCTGTAGAAAGCCTATCATTTACTCTCATGAATGGGAGCAGCCTCTGCTGATATGGCTCAGAATTAAACAAGAACCGTGAAGATCAGAATTCAGAATCAAAGGTAATGTTTCTCCTGACTGTGTTTCATTTTCATGTCTTTGGAAAGTTGAAATCTCCTAATCAAATCACTGTAAACTGGGACATCTGTACTCAGATATAACACTCATATCATTTAACTCCAAAATGAGACAAAGTTCAAATTATTAACATGCTTATTTATAAAGTGAAACAGCTTGTATTGAAAGCGTCTACCAGGAAAAGGCGGGTGTTATGTAGAACACACAGATACAACATGGAATTAACCCCAGGCCTTGTTCCCAGGAAGCTTTTAGTCTAATAGGAAATTAACAAGCAGGCACAGGGCACAGTGTGAAAAATGTCACGATGGAGTTACCCACAGACCACAATATTTGCAAATAAAGATAGATGCCAAACCCAGGAAAGACTGAAAAACTGAAGCAGTGGCCCCATGCCCAGCAGCCTACTAGGGGTAAGAAAGGTGTAAGAAAAGGCCAAACCAGGAGGGAGAGGGAGACGTGTGCGTGTGTGTGTGTGTGTGTGTGTGTGTGTGTGTGTATAAATTAATGACTCTAGTATGATTCATAAACTACTCAAGGAAGCATCAATACACGGCTAGAATGGATCCAGGAGGGCAGGATCAAGGGAAATTTAGCCTCGGCCAAGGTATGGATGGATTTGAATCTACACCAAGGAGCATGAGATTTATACTACGAGCTCCAGCAGACCTTTAGTAAGCTTTAAGCAGGGGAATGCTAGGGTCAACTTGGCTGTTTAGAAAGATGAATGTCTGTACAGACAATGGGGTAGGGGAGCAAAGCTGACCTTTTAAGAAACTATTGTAGAAACCCAATATATATATATATATCTGACAAACAAGTGATGTTTTGGGGGAGTAAGAAAAGGGAGGGGGCAAAGATAGCTCCAAGTTCCTTGCTCTGGGTTCCTGAGGAGAGAAGTGCCATTCATTGCCACTGAAAGAAGGAAAATATAAAGGGAAGAAACTTCTAGATCTGTTTGGAACCTGCTGAGCATGAGAAACCAGGTAGAGTGTTGAGCACCTGGTGATTGCAGAAGTCTGAACTTGCAAGGATGAGTTGACGCAGATCAGAGAATCCAGAGCACGGGGGTGGAGACAGAAAGCACAGGCTGGACTGTTGCTGGCTCTGCCATGAGAAGCAGGCAAGGGCGGACAGACCTTATTCTATATTCAGAACAGAGTGAGAGATAAAAGCAACAGGAAATCAAGGAGGGCTGAGCAGAGAGGTGGGAGAATTATCAGAGAAATATCCAACCTGGGATGCTGAAAATTGCCTTCTTCTATGTGTGGGTTTTCCCTGTGTGTATTCCACTCCATATGGAAATAGCTTCAAGTTTCTCAAGCCATCTGGGCACCACAGATAGGTAAAAATCATGATACACCAAAATGCTTAGGAAGTGGGAAACTCTGGTTAGTTTTAGTTTTCACATTACTAGTTAGTTTCTTCCCGGTCCCTGGTTGTCAGTACCTGCTGCTCATTATTCTATTGGTTCAAATTCACACTTTCTTTGGCTTTGTTCTCATTTTCTTGTCCTCATCCACCTATGTTCTCTCCCAGTTGCCTAGTGACAGCCTAGTAATCCATTTCCCCAGGTAACCATTTCCCATGCGTTCTAATTACTGTATCTGTGTAGGAGACTGCCCCACACTTAGTGACTTTGAACAACAAGGCTGGACATAATGACATACATCTATAATTCTAGTGCTAGGGAGGCTGAGGCAGGAGGATCATGAATTCAAGGCCATCCTAGGCTACCTAGGGAGACCCAGTCTCAGAACAAACCAAGACAATCCTAGTTTTTTTTTTTTTTTTTTTTTTTTTTTACGACATTGGCAGGGCTTAGTGAAGAAGTCCAATTGTTTCATTTGCATTGGCAAAGATGACTCAAAGGTTGGTAACAAGTCACCTGGGATCCTCTGGCTTTTCTCCGCATCTTGTGTGTTCCCTACATTTGGAGCTCTGTGGCTTTGAAAAACTGAATTTCTGTATTTCCCTTCAGGGCTCCCAAGGTACATCCTCGAGAGAATAGATAGGGGAGAGATGGAGAAGAAGAAAGAGAGGGAGGAAAAGGAGAGAGAGACTACTCCAAGACATCTAGGACTGACATTTAGCCTTGGAAGTCACATGGCATTATATTCACCACATTCCACTTGTCAGGGCAACTTCTAAGTTCCCCCAGGCTCAAGGGGGGAGAATAGACACTTTGCCTCACAGTGGAACAATGTGAATGTCACAGCTTGAGAGGAGCATTTGACTGAGCTCTGATGTTGCAGAATACAGTTAGCTGTATTAGATAATCATCACCTCCAGAATCAGGCCCTCCCTAGTGACTTATGAGCTTCGTTCTCTACTAGAATTCATCCTCCCCTCCATCACTGCTCATACATTATATACTTTTTTTCCACAGAAAAATGCTCAAGGCCCTTAAGGAGGAAGTGAACTTACCTAACTCTTTCTAATGAATTTCTTGCCACAGCCTGTCTCAAGATCATTATCACACAGATCTCCTATTGAATAATTTCTCAGTGTGGTTGTACATGTTTAGGTCTGACAGGTTGTAAAATGAGGAACACTTGGCAGGAAGGCTTCTCTGGAAGCTTTTCGGTGATGGCTGAATTTTCTTATTCAGTATGGGAGGAATAGTCTTTCATGGGGAATAACACAGACTTTCTCAGGACATCTCCTGCAAGTTGTAATTTAAAGAATAAACTTAGGACATGAATCTATTTTTGTAGGGTAGTTTGCTTTGCACTTTTGTCCTGAAAATGGAATTCCAAAGAAGAGGTTAATGCTTGTAGAGATGGACTCAGACGTTCTCATAGAGCAGCTATGTCTGTAGGATTCCTGGATGGTACCATAATTTCCCAAGTAAATGGCTGAAACAGTTAATGCATTTTTCAAAAGAACTCAAAAGTTTGGGCCATTTAACTTCTTCTCTGAAGGCTCCACATATACATTTTTGTGATTATTTTTTTGTTTTTTGTTTTTCAGAGAATGGCTCTGAAGATATTGATATACTTCCTAGTGGGCTGGCTTTTATCTCTACTGTGAGTATTTGCCAGCCGCTCTGATGCTCACATCAATAGCTGTATAGACAGTGCATTAAAGTTTCCAGCTCGAGATGCCAGATGGACCCCTACATGTTCATCCCACCTCTGGGCAGAACAGTCAACTACAAAAGCCAAACTGCAATCTGGAAGGCTAATTAGAACACCACAGGCATGGCTAACTCTGGCTGCCTCATGTGGGCAGCTCCCTGTGGTCAGCTGCATGCTCGGCTAGGGCCTCTGTAAATGTGTATTGATGTGCATTTGACTCTCAGGCTGGTCTTCAGATCTGTCCTGTTACATCTCATCTCTATCACTGCCTTATTGGGTGGTACTTTAGTGTCTGATAGTCATCTTCGCACTAACCAGTATTCTTGCCATGCCTGATTATGCATGGAGCACTCTAAATGTTAAAGAGTTTAACATCAATACTAGGACTCCCGGCTATTCCTTCAATGTGTTTCCATGAGTAGAGAAGAAAGTGTATTTTGTTCTCAACACCACCTCGACAAATTTTAAATGACCAGGAAGCTATAGTAGGAGACCAAAGCAACAACAAAATCAGTAAACAAAAGAGCAGTATCTTTATTAGATGTTGAATATTGTCGTGCATTTATCAAGCCAATAATTTTGTTTGCTGGTTTTGTTCTTGAGGGTTTGTTGGAAATTAAAACCAGGGATGTGTGCATGTCAGTCATGAACTCCACTGCCTGGTTAAGTCCACAGGTTGGGTCCAAGATTTTGAAAATGTGAATTTACCATACTTTTTGTGTGACTTAATTTCTGCTTCTAGAATTGCATGTGGAAATATTCCATTTTTTTCCAAACCACTAACTTGCATGAATTTTAAGTCTAAATACTTTTGGCTCAAAGCAAGGCATCCTATAGGAACCACAATCTGAATTTCCAGATTCTTAAACTAGTACAGAGAAGGACTCCTTAAATTTCAAATGGTGGGAGGCAGGATTCTCTTCCTTCACTTTTCCTCCAAAATCAAAGATAAAACAAAACTGTCTGGAAAAGCCTTTTTTTCTTTGACCGCAATTTTCTATTGTCAAGTTTGATTTTCAGGGCTACGCCAAACAGACCTGCAAAAGTGATTACTCCATATAGTTAGGAGATGTCTTTGCTGTTAGGAAGTGTTTGTCGTTCCTACCGTCTGCTTCCCCTAGCAGCAGAGCTTCAGAATTATTACTAAATAGAAAGAAAGCATTCTCAAACCAAACAGTGCATGAGAGATGTCAGCATGCCTTCTCTTTTCATCCCTCTGTAAACCAGCAACTCCTACTCAATGCTTGGGATCTATGCTCTTTGCTCTGTTTCTCATCTTCCTGTATTCAACATCTTGTTCTCCTTGGTCTCCCCTACAACCTTCTTGCCTCTTTTGACAATGTTCAGAAGCAGAGGATCCACAGAGTGATTCTAGGCAAATACATATTCTTAGCCTTTCTAAAGTGACAAGGAAGATACTTTTCCCCCAGCCTGGAGACTCGGCATGCTTCTTGCCTACAGGATTACTCTCATCCTCCCACTTGCCAGTTAACTTCTATTTCTCAGTGAAGCCTTCCTGTGAAGGTACACAGTTTCCTCAGTAAGCTTTCCCTGGTTCTGTTGTTGGGTATGGATGGGCTATCATATGTACCACCTTATCCTGATATGTTCTTCTTGTGGCATCATGTTACTTTAAGTTTCTTGAATCTGGGACTTAGATGTGTTCATTAACACCCCAGATATCCAGCATAATACTGAACATATGAGGTCTGAGGATGAATGAGGACCGTGGGAGGTTTCAATGAATGTCCTAACATACCTCCTGTTGCTGGAGGGCTTCTCTCCAGGTTCCCCAGGCCCCGCAGTCCCACAATCCACTTATAAAATAATCACTCAGACGCTTATATCACTTATAAACTGTATGGCCGTGGCAGGCTTCTTGCTAAATGTGCTTATAGCTTAAATTAGTCCATTTCCATAAATCTATACCTTGCCACGTGGCTGGTGGCTTACCGGCATCTTCACATGCTGCTGGTCATGGCGGCGGCTGCAGTCAGTCCTTCTGCCTTCCTGTCCTTTTATTTCTCCTCTCTGTTAGTCCCGCCTATCCTTCCTGCCTAGCCACAGCCGATCAGGTTTTATTTATTGATCAATCAGAACAACTTGACATACAGACCATCCCCCAGCACAGCCAAGTGCAGACCATCTCAGACACCTGCACTCAGGCCCATGGTCCTAATCATCCTCTATGCGGACCTGCTGGGTAACGCCACAAGGAACCCAAGAAGGGCTCCCACAGGACATACAGAACATCCCACAGCAACCTCCAATACATTGGGGGAAATCAGAAGCCTACATCTCAAAGTGACTGCCAATATTTCCAGTGGTGAGTGGTAGGAATGGAATTGTGTGCTGTTAGTAGCATACTGTAGGATTGCTACTACCAATTCCAACCCCACAGAATGCCATGGACAGAAACCTAAACCTGCTCCCAGAAGAATTTCCTTAGCATTCTCATTTCAAGCTAAGTTCATTTGCAGTGCCTTGCTCTTGCTCCTGCCATATCTTTTCCATATTTAGGACTTCTAGTCTCTTCGTTTGGATGACAATGTCATCATCTGTATCCATGATACCAAGGCACTTGTAGAGGTGTGCTGCCTTGAGACACACACATACCCTTGCATATATTTATGCTGTGGCAGAAGGGGGCTGTACAATGAATGGCAGGCAAATGGCTAGATGCCCCTAACATTTCCTCCTTTGGTATTGCCAGTCTCTGAGCCAAAGAACTTAATGACAGATTAGCTGTAGAAAGGGGAACTGAGGATTGAATTTTATGGTGTGACAGAATAGTGACATTCTTAACTGAGAACAGATATCCATGAGAGGGAGGATCTGGAGTGATGACATTCTACTTTGGTTTTTGACAAGCTGATTGAAGCTGACCTGAGGAGGGAGTGGGAAAGGTAAGCCACAGGACCATTGACAAGCTTTGTGGGGAAACATGCATATGTGGGAATCACTGGGAGACATGAAGTAACTGAAGCTTTATGAATGAAAGCTATGAGGAGGGAGCACAGGGGAGGAAGGAGTTATGAGGATAGAAGGAAGACAAATCCTGGAGGTCGACATAGACAGAAGTTCTATCACAGAACTCTACTTCTAGCTTGTTGTCATGAAGGAAGGAAGCAGTGTCCAGGGCCCCAGGGCTGCAGCTACAGAAAGGAGAAGGGTTGTCAAGGAAGACACCTTGAGACTGTGGCACAACCTGGAGAAATGTGCTTGACAGAATACAAAAGGTAGAATGATGATCCCATATACTCATTGGTGTGGGGCCATCCATTGGAGCTTGGTTGACCTATCAGGGGCCATAGTCTTAAAGAAAATTGACTTTTCTTCTCCTAGCACACACCAATTGTCAATAGTTTCTCATGAGCTCTGCCATGCTCCCTGCTAGAATGTTGACTGGCTTGATGCTGTGATGTAGATGTCCCATTTCTGGCTGAAGGCATCCACCTTCTTAAGAGCTTTAAGCCAGCAAAAAAAGAGCAGAGAGAGGATCCATTGAAAAAGGAAGTGGTGCAGCTTCCTTAGAGAGGCTCTTTACTTGGTGGAGACTGACCCAGAAACAGAATCTGAGAGTAAGGCCCTGCCCATCTCTCCTTTTGGGTATGGCAAAGAAGGGAAGTTCAAGAATGGCTACGATTGCTCTGATGGCTTCAGAGACCTCTTTCCAACAACACTGAGGTACAAGCCTTGGATGATGATGAGGATTTTAAGAAAAACTTGAAGGAGGATGGAGAGATGACTCAACAGTTAAGATCACTTAATGCTTTTACTTCAGCATGGCAGCTCACATCCATCTAAAAACTAGTTTCATGGTATCCCACACTCTCTTCTGATCACCAAGGACATCAGGCCCATATGTGGAACACAGGCATGCGTGCATGCACTCAAACAAGCATATATAAAAAATAAGAATGATTAAATCTTTTCAAAACACTTGAAGATCTGGACAGGGATGCTCAGAGATTACTGACCACCCTGCAGTAAGAGGACAACAGAAGGACCAGTAAGTATATGTGTTTGCAAGGGCGAGAGCAGAAAGAGAAACCAGGAGAGACAATAGAGTAGAGAGGAGAATATTTAGATTAGTGGTTGAGGGGGAAGAAAGAAGCTGGTCTATTTTTAGTTAAATCAGAGAGATGAAGAAGAGATGTGAGCATGAAGTAACTGTTTAGTCCTTGGTGTAAGATAAACCAACCCCAAAGTTTGAGACAAGGAACTAGGGTATGTTAAAGGTTCAATACCTTGTGGGTGTCTGTTGTTGACTGATAAATACTTAGCCCTATTGGTAGAAAGGGTCACTGTCAAAAGTACTAGAATGAAGTTTTTGTGCTCATTGGAATAAGGACTCAAATTAGAATTTTCAGACACTCTTATAGGAACAAAGTAAATTATAAATCTATATGATGCTAGCACCCTCTGCTGAATTGTGGCTGATGCTATTTATGACTACATAAGTTATAGGAAAAAAGAACAATAGATTTAATCCACACACCCCTTATCTATGCATTGGGAAAGGAAAATATCAGACATCAAGATTGGAAAGATCTTAACCATCATAAGTTTCAGTTGTTTCATTTTATAGACGAGCACCCCAAGACCTAGGCAGACCAAAGGACTCTGAGAAAGTAACATGGCTTGGTCCTTGGCATTGTAATCTGTGGCTCAACTCTTTCTAAATTAAAAATGCTTTCTTATCTCAAACATGACTCTTCCTGTAACCTTCACAGTTAAGGTTGGAAAGGCATTGCTGACCCCCTTCCCCAGATCAGACAATGGCTATAGCTAACAGAGTGAAAAATCCCCCAAATTGAAATGAAATGCAGAACCTGGAACATTTTTGTTTGGCTTTGAGATTTTGGCTTCCCTATGAAAATGCTATTTAAATAAGCATATGTGTGTAGACTGACTCTCTTTTCTAAAGGGATTAAAATATCCAGGCATGCCAAACTTTGCACCAGACAAACCAGGAAGGATTTTCCTGATGGATCTGAATGAGCCAAACCCAAAGGCACAAGCACTGGAAATCAGTGACGGTTTTGACAAGGAGACACTGAATCCTCATGGGATCAGCACCTTCATTGACAAAGGTAAAACCCTAATGACTGAGACTAAGGGAGTGGGGGAAAGGGATTCAGCGTCCTTGTTAAGGGGAGAGGACAGGGGCTATCCTGTGTGCAATGTGTGCAATCTTTGCAAATTTGTTAATGTTTTACACACACACACACACACACACACACACACACACACACAAACTTTAAAACATTTTTCTAAAGAAGAATGGATAGGAGGGATGGGAGGAAAGTACTCTTCTTCTTATTTGACTTCCAGAACCTGTTTGAATACTTTTCAGAGAAATCAAACATGTAAACCAAAGGTCTTTTGAAAATAATAATGTAACACTCAAAATCGTAGCATAAGGGAAAAAAATAAATTTGAATCGTGGAAATTGAAACCATGATTTTTGTACCTAAAAATACCGTCAAGAAAGTAAAAACACCCAAAGAATGACAGATAATATCTGCAAAATAATAATGATGATGATGATGATGATGATGATGATGATGATGTCTGGTTAAGAGCTTGTACCCAGACTCTACACACACACACACACACACACACACACACACACACACACGTGTAGCTAGAGTTTTCCTGCCTTGCCCACAGTCAGGACAAATCTCTGTCACCCGCCAGTCCCACAGCCGCTCAGACCCAACCAAGTAAACACAGAGACTTATATTGCTTACAAACTGTATGGCTGTGGCAGGCTTCTTGCTAACTGTTCTTACAGCTTAAATTAATCCATTTCCATAAATCCATACCTTGCCACGTGGCTCGTGGCTTACCGGTGTCTTCACATGCTGCTTGTCATGGTGGCGGCTGGCAGTGACTCCTTCCGCCTTCCTGTTCTTTCTTTTCTCCTCTCTGTTAGTCCCACCTATACTTCCTGCCTAGCCACTAGCCAATCAGTGTTTTATTTATTGACCAATCAGAGCAATTTGACATACAGACCATTCTACAGCATATATGTGTCTTACATATACATAGTCTTGCAGTTTGTCTTGGTTAGTATTCTATTATTGTGAAAGACACCATGACCAAGGCAAGCTGGGAAGGAAAGAATTTCCTTGTCTTACACTTCCACATCTGTTCATCACTGAAGGCAGTCAGAGAAAGAACTCAGACAGGAAAGGAACCTAGAGGCAGGAGCTGATGCAGAGGCCATGGAGAAGTGCTGCCTACTGGCTTATTCTTCATAGTTGATCAGTCTGCTTTCTTATAGAACCTAGGACCACCAGCCCATGTTTGGTACTACTCACAATGAGCTGGGCTCTCCCTCATAAATTACTAATTAAGAAAATGCTGTGCAGCCAGAACTTATGGAGGCATTTTCTCAACTGAGATTCATTCATTTCCAATGACTCTAACTTATGGCAAGTTGACATAAAACTATTGAGCACACAACTTAATACCCAAAAAAACAACCCCATTTAAACATGGACAGGTGTCTGAATAGACATTTGTCCTATAAAAATATACAAATGCCCATTAAGATATTAAGAGATATTTGACATTTTTTAGCCACTTGAGAAATGTGAATCAAGTCAAAATAAGTCATTTCTTCATAACCACAAGATGACAATAATAAAAGAGACAAGAGGCTGGGTACCTGGATCAGTGGGTCACAACACTTGTTCTTCAAGCATAGGCACCCTAGTTTGAATCCTCAGCATCAACCTAAAAAGCCAAGTATGGCTATTTATTACTGAAACCCCAATACCGAGAGAGGAGATAGGTGGGTCCTCAGAGCTCACCAACCAACCATAGTAGCCAAAATAATGAGATTCCAGTTCAGCCAGAGACCCTGTCTCAAGGCAATTAGGTAGAGAGCAACAGAGGAAGACACTCAGTGTTATGCTCTAGCCTCCGTATCCACTCATGTGCATGCAGCTCTCATATATACATGCAGACATACACATGCATGAGCGTGCGCATACACACACACATACACACACACACACACACACACACACACACACACACACGAGACAAGCAAAGATGTTGAGAAATTGGGCCCCTTTGCTGGTGAATTGTGAAATGGTGCAGCCACCTTGGGAAATCGTCTGTCAGTTTCAAGGATGGTGTTACTGTGTGACATGGCAGCTTCACTCACTCTGTGGTGTGTGATCAACAGAACTGGAAACACTTCCACACATACACTCCTACACAAATGTTCACAGCAGCATTTCTCCTAGTATCCACACACCCATTTCCTGATAAATAAGCAACATAATTTGTACAGAAGAGCATCATTTGGCAACAGGAAGAATGAGTTGGGGGTGCATGCTAGACAGATGCACCTTGGAAATGCTATGCTATGTGGAAGAATTCAGTCACTAAAGGGCACTAATTGTATGATTCCATCCATATGAAACATCCAGTAGGCAAAATTATACAGACAAAATGTAGACCAGTAGTCAGCAGAGGCTGGGAAGAGGGGGAAATGGAGAGAAACAACTTGACAGTGAGAGATTTCTTTGGGGGCTGATGCAAATATTCTGGAATTAGGTAGTGGTCATTACTGCACAAGAATATACCAAAACTCACTAAATTTTACATTTTGCAAGACTGAATTTAATGACATATGACTCATATCTCGAGAAACTACCCCAGAAACAAATCATATTATTATTCACTCTCAAAATAACAATCTCTGATACATTTCGCTTGTATGTAGCCCATAATTCCAAACTAGTTTGAATTAAATATATGTGCGAGTCTATTGAGCACATGGGTACCATCGTATAAAGAGGGTGTCTCCCTCCTCCAGCATTCTTTGTTTCTACTTTGCTTACTAGTTATTTCTCTTCTTTTCGTCTCTATGTATTTTCACCATAAAAGTGTACGTAACATGTTCCTTACTGGAATCTGAGAGTCAAGAACAGTGACTGAGACAGACTAGGAACTGAGCAAACAGATGTTCAGTGAGCATGTGAATTTCGATACTGTGGGACAGGGCAGCTTATAAATACTCCATTTAACAAGATGGAGAAGCTGGAGTGGAGAGAAGTGGCAGGCAGAGCTGACTTGGCTTAGCAAATGGCTGCTTTAGAGCTAGAAGCCAGGTGGTTTCACTTATCTGTGTCTTTTATGGGGTAAAACTAGGGAATCACCATGTACTTAATCCCCCAAAACCTAACCTTCTTTGCCTGACACTGTGCTGGCTAATGCCTTCCATGAGAGTTGATGTAATGAAGTAGTCATATCAACCTACAGTATTTAACTGCATAGGATGTTAGAGTTAGGGTTATTAGCAGCTGGCATTCTAAGATGGGATCATTTTTTTTTTTTTGGATTAACTGCCAGCCACATATGTAGGCTTCCAAAATTTTGATGTATTATGATTGACAGCCCATTTTATTCATTTAGTCCCCTTCCTTAATTAAGGGACTACTTCACCAGACCAAAACATTACACGGGGAATTGTCAGGATAGAGCAAGGAGGCAGAACAAAATTATCTTCAAAAAGCGTCTCTCTTCCATGGAAGGAAGATCCAGGAGAAGCATAAGAATGGGAAAACCAGGGCAGAATGAATGATTACCATATTGCATCCCACAAAATGTCTGTTTGTTTAGGGCCTGAAATCCAACCTATGTCCTGTTGCCAAAGGCTGGGCCCTGTAACAGCAAGATCAGACCAAAGGAGAGATTTGCCTGTGTGGGGAGTAGCTCCCCATAATTTGCTTCAAACAGCTCAATGTGTTCAGGGGCCCTGAGTGTAAATGTCGCATGTCAGGACTCAGACTTGCTCCATTACATGTTTGGTATCTACATGAAGGGGGTGAAGAGCAACAAATGCTGAACAGGTTCCACAGCGAGAGGATCGGAGCAGTCTTAAAAACTCAGATCTACCCCTTCTGATAAGTCAGGAAAGGTCGCTGCTTTCAATTTCACAGCAGTTAACATTCCAGAGTGAAAACAGGAAGGTGGGGACATTTTTGAGGCTGATAATTCCCAGAATTAGCTGGTTTGTTTCCTTTGGCATATTTACCTTACATGTCCACTGAGTCCACCAAGTTGTTACTCAACCTCAGGTATTTGACTAGAGCTAGAAGTTCATTGTGTAGTTGGGAAATAACTATTATTTATTTTAAAGCAGTCACATGCACAGAGATTTCTTGAACTTCTGTTGGCATGTGGACATCTGTGACACACCCCAAATTTTCTCAGTAGAGATTAGCTTGCTTTCAGACACTGAAAGGGAAACTATAGGTGTTTACTTCCGTTATAATTCTGTATCTTCTCCTCTGAGGGTATGCTGGTGAGGCTGAGAAGACCATTGCAGAAACATCCATGTTTTGCTCTGTGTCTTGGTGTTGGTAAAATCACTGGGTTACCCCACCCCTCATTTGAATTTCAATTCTTCAAAGACAGAAGAATCTAGCATTGGTGTTAATGACCCATCTGATGGACATGCAAAACGCCTAAAGGAAGCCATTGCACAGTAGTACATGTCTATATAGTCCCAACCACTCAGATCTGGAGCCTAGAAGTTCAAGATAAGTCTGTGTAACATAGCAAGACCCCATCTTAAGAATAAACCAAAGCCTTGGGAGATGATCAGGGTTTTAAAGAAGTCTAATAATGGTTGTAAGAAAAGTAAACTTCTTGGAAATTACATCTTCCTTTGAAATTGTACCCACCCACCCCCATTTAGACAACACTGTGTATCTTTATGTCGTGAATCATCCTCACATGGATTCCACTGTGGAGATATTTAAATTTGAAGAACAGCAACGTTCTCTCATCCACCTGAAAACTATAAAACACGAACTTCTCAAGAGGTATGGAATTAAAGCCTGTGGGCTTCTATTCACTTCACACCGCTGCTGTGCGCATCGTTAGCTTTGGTTCCGCAGCAGGCATATTCTCATAACTTTTGTTTTCCTCTGAAGCTTTCCAGAGCTTCCCTGGGTGGGACCTCAGTAGAAACTGCTGTGCTCAGTATTGAATGTCTCTATACTTTGCAACTTCTTGAGAGCTCTTTAATCCTATAAAGGTGCTCAATTAGATTCTCAGCTCTTATTTCAACCTCTTTGCTACAGCAACTCAATACTGGGCTCTGTTTAAACGCCTACTCCCTCTCCTAGTCGTCCAGGTAGGTTGTGTTCTCCAAGCCTTACCCACTGGGTGTTAGAACCAACCTCCAGATGGTTTATTTTTTTGTACCCAATTTTTTAAAAGAAGATTTGATAAAAAAAAATCAAACAAACAAACCGTGGGCACTTATAAAAATTACCCTTATTAAATGTTGACTGTGTACCAAGTGCTATGTCAAAATGCTTTAACTGAATTTTCACATAGCATTTAGTAACAAGAAAGAGGAAACTGAGTCTCATAGAAGTTGTGGGCCAGGTAGGTTGCCTGATTCAGTTTGTGATTGGCAGGTAAGCTTGGGTCTATTGGAGTTACAAACTGAGTTCTTAATTTGCAATGATCAATATCATTCTTACTGGATTTAGAAAATTAAAATTTTTAGTGGATAGTCAATTTTAGGTCTTAAACAATAAAGAGTTTTTCTATTATGAAGTGAGCATATCACCAGGTTCTGTTCTGAGTCACAGTGGATCAGAACCTCACAGAATTTCTGGGGAATGCAAAAGTCACTTAAGTTGTGCCTCCATTTCACAGTAAAATGAAGATTTTCCTTGTTGACTGGACTTACCTCAGTGGTGAATTATGAGGCTCATATACCTCACAGGAGGAATCCTAGAAAACAGCCCTTATGGGAAAACATTATGAGAATGTTCAATCCTAGAAAACTTAAGTCAGATCAGCCTTAAGTAAAGAAAGGGGAATGTGATGAGTTGAATTGGGTCCTACAAAACTATAAAATATTTCCCAAGTCATCCAGCATTCACTTTTCTAAAATTTTAAATAAAAATGTATGTTTAAATCCCTACCACACAAACCTCAGAATGTGACCTTACTTAGAAAAATACCTGCAGAGGTAATTGAAGACAAAGCTTTACTTTGTATTATAACGTACGATGTATTCTTAATCCAGTAAGAAGGCAGAGGGATACAGAAGACCGGCACCCAATCATGGATACCATACCCACACTGGAGCGAGAGATCTCCAAGTCAGTGAATGCTACCTTGATCTGGAAAAGTCAAAACCCAGGTCTTTCCACAGAAACTTGGGAACCTGGCTCTGCTAAAATGACTGGGCTAACGGCTTGATTCCATACTCTTACTCCGTAAACTGTGTTATAATAACTTTTGCTGTTTTAATCCGTACAGTTGATGGTAGCTTGTTAAGACCTATCCAGAAAACACTTACATGGGGAAACTGTGGAAATGCTTTGTCAAGTCAGTCGTTACTAAGCGCAGTTAAGACACAGCTCAAAATCATGGAGTTACCCTGAAGAGGCAACATCAGCCTCATTTCATAATGATCTGACCCCGACAAGAAAGAGAGAAGAGTTTATCCCACAACCTCCTCTCCTCTCAGTCAAAGGTGACCCAGGGGGCCTTCTCACCCTTACCCTGCCCACTTGTGTGTGAGCAAGTCAAACTGGGTGCTATCCTGTGTTTTGACAGCAGCAAGTCTGTGGTGGGAGACAAGGTACAGGATAAGGTGCCGCGAAGAGGCACCTGTGGGAAATCTGTCAGGACAGGATGAATTTGCTTCTACTTGGCAGTGGAAAGAGGCAGATGAGGCAGTGAGGCTCTAAGTTGGAGCTTGAGAGGAACCATGACACACACATTGAGCAGCAAGTACAAAGGACAAAACAGAGTGCCACAGGAGGAAACAAAGGGAATGTAATGCAGGGCACCAGGCAAGCCTTTAATGTTACAGTGTCACTAGAGATCTCTTGGAAGAAGGAGCACTCCGGACAAGCCAGGGAGGATGAACAGGCCAGTGACAAGGGATACTGCATGAAAATTACAAATATTCCCTTTCCTCGTCCAGATTTCCCTTCTCTAAAATTTTATTTCTTTAAAACAAAACAAAATGCTTCAGGTGTCAGAGATGGCATAGTGGGTTAAGGTGCTTGCCAGCAAGCCTAACAGAGTGAGGTTGATCTCTGGCTGTGCATTGTGGAAGGAGAGGATGGACTCCAGCAAACTGCTCTTCGATCTCTGCACATGCACTGTAGCAGATGTGCTATAGAGCTCTCGGATGTGTACACACACACACACACACACACACACACACACACACACACATAATTAAATGTAAAATACCCTTCATATTTCTTTTTAATTTTCAAGTCACATTTTTTCTTTTCCAAAATACAGGTGTTTATGACTCATTATTTGTATTATAACACTAATTACTTTCTTAAAATAAAGAACAAGAAGGCTGGGTGTGGCACATGCCTTTAATGCCAGTGCTCAGGAGGCAGCAGCAGGCAGATCTCTGAGTTCAAGGCCAGCCTGGTCTATAGAGTGAGTTTGAGGATAGCCAAGGCTGTTACACAGAGAAACCCAAAAATGAGAAACAAAACAACAACAAGAAAGAACAAAAGAAAAAGTATCACCCGTTATCCTACCTGCTTAGAGAAAACATAAATGTCAAGATAGACTTGGTTAAGCTATAATGACAGGAAGGAATGCCTATGGGTCAAAGCTGTGTGGTTTTCTTCTATTTCCTCACTCAAGCTCCATGTGTTGATCAGGACCTAGTGTCATATCATCCTCACTTAGGGTCTTAGGAGGACCACAATAGTACACCCTCGGAAAAATTGCTTGTTCCCATGAAAACACAATGGATCACTCATTGATTCTCCAAGCCTTTCATTAAAAAGCCACACGTGGGGCCTGGGAAAATGGCTCAGTCAGTAAAATGCTTATCTTATAAGCATAAGGACTGGAGTTTGATTCTCAGAACTCATGTAAAAAAAAATAGCTGGACATGGTAGCATGTGCTTATAATCCCAGTGTTGGGGAAGCAGAGACAGGTAGATCCTTGGGGCTTACTGGTCAACCAGCCTAGCCTATTTGAGGAGTTCCAGACCAACAAGAAGCCTCAATAATCAAGGTAGATACACGAAGTTAACCTCTGGTCTGCCTTCTTCAGACACACATCACACGTGTGAATATGCACACAAATATACACAAACAAAAGAAGCCATATACATATCCTTTCTTTTTTTGGTTAAAACAAGTCATATGACAGGCTTAACTTTAAGAATTAAGTCTAATTCTAGAGGAAAAACAAAGATAATATATCTGTCACAGTAAGCCATCATAACATCCACAAGTCTAGAGTTTGTTAGTATACACATTCATTTTTTACTTAAAATAATAAATAGCCCAAAGAAAACATGTGAAAGTAAAATCAGAATGTTTTATGGAATTAGTTAATTCATTTTAGAGCCTATCATTTAAAACTGGTGATCATGGTGATCTAGATGAATCTTAGTGGCTGTGTCAATAATCAAAACATTCAAATATCTTATGAGTTTCTCCCCCTCCTTTTTTTTTCTAGTGTGAATGACATTGTGGTTCTTGGGCCAGAGCAGTTCTATGCTACAAGAGACCACTACTTCACCAGCTACTTCTTGGTACTTCTGGAGATGATCATGGACTTTCACTGGACTTATGTTCTTTTCTACAGCCCAAGAGAGGTCAAAGTAGTAGCCCAAGGATTTAGTTCTGCCAATGGAATCACAGTCTCACTAGACCAGAAGTATGTGCTTTCAGAATGGTTCTGCCCTTTGTCCTCAACAATGAAGAGCTCCTTCAAGAGCTCCCTGAGGTGCAAGCAGTCAGTATGTGGGAGGAGGGCTCAGGTGTTAAGAAATATGTGATCCTAAAAACTATTTGTTCTCTTGAATGTCAAGTCCACTCCAGAAAAAGAGAGACTCAAAAATATGATCTTTGTTCTAAATTCTTAGAACATTCTTTTCCAACATTCTTTATAAAAGCAGGATGAATATATCTTTGCCCCTTATAAGCCCAGAAGGTATTTAACCACATAATATAATGCTGTATTGACTAAAAGCTCTTAGGAGAGAGAGAAACCTGCCTTGTACATGTGATGGTACAATTGGCAGACTTAGGATAATTCCATGACTGCTTTTAAGAAGCACAAAAATATTGTGGATAATCTTTTTGTACACTGTAAAGATACATCTTTCTCAAGACACCTTCTGATTGGTTTAATAAAGAGCTGAATGGCCAATAGCTAGGCAGGAGAAGATAGGTGGAATTTCCCCAGAGAGAGAGGAAGGGAGGGAGGGGGAGAGGAGGAGGAATCTAGGGGCAGATTTCACCAGCAGACTCGGAGATAGTCAGACGTGCCATACTGAGGAGAGGTTACAGAACCATGTGGCAGAACGTGGATTAGAAAATATGGATTAATTAAGTTATAAGAGCTAGTTGGAAACCAGCCTAAGCTAAGACCAAGTTTTCATAATCAATACTAAGTCTCCATGTCATCATTAGGGGACTGGTGATCCAAAGATATTCAGACAAGAAAGCTTGCTACATGAAATTTTACCAGAGGATGTCCTGGAAAAATAGTTAAAATTTAAAGACTTTTAAAGCAGAGATATACTATAAATAACAACATTTAGATTTGAGATCATGAATAGAAATGCCTTTAGGCTGCATATAGTGGTGCATGCCTTTAATGCCAGAACTTGGGAGGCAGAGGTAGGAGGATATCTGTGATTTTGAGGCCAACCTGGTCTACCTAGTGAGTTCCAGGACAGCCAAAGCTACATAGTGGGACCCTTTCTCAAAACAAAACAAAACAAAACAAAACTGACAACAAAAAAGAAAATGCCTGTAGACATTCTTCCTGTTTTGAAAGCACAGTGTGACTGAGCTCCGTGGCCATCCCACTGTTATTTCAAGCTCTAAGTTTGGAAGTGCAGACTCTTTAGTCCTGGAAGGATGTTCTTACCTCATTCAATTGAAAAAAATATATAACTCCTAAGTAATGAGATTGAGTCTATATGTCATCTATAATACTACCTTTCACTTCATGGTCCCATTTCACATTAAAAGCCTATAGAACATTTCACTAATATTACAAGTACCACCCTGTTATCTTCTTTTATGGTATTGTAGAAAGAGCTCACAGTAGTACTTCAAACCAACTTGAATTTTTGTATTTGTTCTCCAAAAAGAAGACTGTATCGTATTTCATTACTACTTGCTAACACTGTTACTTATTTACAGGTATGTCTATGTAGCTGATGTAATAGCTAAGAACATTCACATAATGAAAAAACATGATAATTGGGATTTAACTCAAGTGAAGGTAAGCGTTCCCCAGCCAAGCCGCACATAAGTCTCATATTTAACCCATAAAATGTTCTTAAGGATCCACGGCTATTTACATGTTTAGAGTGCAATCATAAAGCCCCCTAAATATACCAATGTCCAGTACCAGGAAAAACTGGTAGGAGGGAGGGCAGAGAACATTGAGATAATGTTCTCACTACTTCCTCTTTGTTTAAGGTCATTCAACTAGGCACCTTAGTGGATAACTTGACTGTGGACCCTGCCACGGGAGATATTTTGGCAGGATGCCATCCTAACCCCATGAAGCTATTGACCTACAACCCTGAGGACCCTCCAGGGTCAGAAGTAAGTACTGATACTTGAGCTCACAGGCAAGTCTGCAAGACTGGAAATTTGCTAAGGTGATGTTGAGGGGATTTATGTGGGTCACATTTATGTTCCAGAACGGAACAAAACGTTTATATAAAAAAGTAGAGATAGTGGCAGTTTGAAGAGATGGGGTTCCTAAGTTTTTTAAGCCATCGGGGGCTAATGTAATATCACTGCCAGACAGCAGGTCGTAACTTGGAAAGGATTTTCTTTGCTATTTGAGAGTAATGAGGAAAGATGAGCATGAGAGTTGATGTTGACATAGATGGCCCTACTGTGTTTCCAATAGAATACAAGCTCTGAGAAGCAGTTGCAGTGGAGACATGCATAGAACTGTCTCTGTTCATACCACTGAGTACACAGCCCACACAAAGGGTTTGAATGATTGGAGACTCTGAAGATGAATTTTTGTTCTTGGCTTCTAATAGAAATGCTAGTATTCAAGAGTAATTTCTTTTAAAGGTTTCTTAATTTAAAAGTATATCTTCTAAAGTAAAAACTATTGAATTATCTATAGCATTTAAACCAATTGCATAAGACACTGCATTTTCTATGACATTGAATTTAATACTAATAATAAATTTAAAAATTCCATTGAATTTAACTACAACTACAAATTCTTTCACATATACTTGGAAAGACTTATTTGCTGATGTTCACATTTTGCCAGATATTGTTCTAATGCTTGGGCTATATCAGAAAATAAAACACACATTGGCTGGTGAGATGATTAAAAAAAAAAAAATACTTGCCATGCAAGACTGATGACCCGAGTTCGATCCTTGGTCCCACCACGTAAGGAGAACCAACTGCTGAAAGTTATCCTCTGACCTCCACAAGTGATGTGGCCTGTGGGTGCCTGCACTTGTACACTCGTCTGCTCACACAAACACACATGCTCGCTAAAAAATAAACAGTAAAATAAAACTTTAAACAAACATTAAAAAATACATGCAAGGCCCCTGTTCTTAGGGGACAGAAGGCCAGACACTAACTGAACATATAAGTTCATTTACGAAAGGAATTGTATAAGTTACACAGACAGTCAGTTGTGTAGGAAAAACAGCGTAGTTAAGTAGAGGGTTAAGGTGGCTGTGAAAAGCTGTGGGCAGGTCCTGGGTTGAAGACAGAGAAGAGAATAGAAGGTGTGGCTTGAAGAAAGGTGTGACATGTTTGGGAAGTTGAGAAACTAAGATTCAAATCTCAGCTTATTCATTGACCCAGGAGGGGTCATTCCCACTGAAGAGTATGGCTGGTTTTTAATTATTCTTATTTGAATTTAACATATCAGTCATGATTTTTTTCTTTTGTTTTTTCGAGACAGGGTTTCTCTGTGTGGCTTTGGTGCCTTTCCTGGAACTCACTCTGTAGCCCAGGCTGGCCTTGAACTTACAGAGATCCACTTGCCTCTGCCTCCTGAGTGCTGGGATTAAAGACGTGTGCCGCCACCACCCGGCTCAGACATGAAATCTTTAAGAGAGCATCAAGAAATATTTTAAGGCAATCATATTGTTGAGATTGTATGGGTGCAGTTTCCAGTAATGTCTAGAAGACATTATCCACTCAATGACAACAGCAGTTGACATGCCAGTGTAGATGGGGAAAATGTTGTCCCTAAACACATGAACATCAGCCTAAACAGATTCAGCGGCTGTGTGCCTTTAATAGTCATAATTAAAGAAGAGGTCACAGATTTGAGAGGGATATGAGAAGAGTTGTGTTGGGGAGAGTGAGGGTAGAAATGATGTGAATACAGTATTTATTTAAGAGGTTCTCAAAAATATTAGATAAACATTCACTAATAAGTTTCAGCAAAGTAGATCAGCTTTTGCTGTGCAATTACATAGTGAAAATAGGTAGTGAATACAAGCTTTCAATTACACACTTGCTATCTACACACCAGCCTTTTTATAGCACTGATACCTATTATATGGACCAATCTAAAGCATGGCATATGTTTATGTAGTTTCATTATTAAATTTTTCACATTTACATTTATATAAAGTAAATAAAAACACGTCAGATGTGAAAGTGATAGATTTCTCCTTTAAACCATTTTTTAAGATTTAAGACAACCCAATTAAATGCCTTTGGATAGATATAGTTGTTATTCTACATACTGAAGAAATTCTAGATTCTATGTTGTGGTAATTTAAATAAGAGCTAGAATGTTCACCTAGGGCATAAAAATCATGCAGTCAACTTCGGTGTTTCTACAACATGGAAGCTCTCAAGGAGACAGAACTATCCCTTGGACTTTGAGATTGAGTTAGTCAACATATTCTGACTTTGCCCTAGATTCTTTTATAATATATTTTATATATTTATAATTTATTATATATATATATATGTGTGTGTGTGTATATATATATATGTATGTATGTATATAATCCCAGAAGTGCAAACTAAGCCTAGAATGAGAAGAATCATTACCTGTTCTTATTCAGATACACACCCTGCGGCCTTTCTAGAGACAAACAGAGCTTCCCTACAAAAGCCTGGCCACAGCGTTTGCTTTAAGTGTGTCCTAGTTAGGGTCTCTATTGCTAGATGAAACACCAGAACCAAAGCAACTTGGAGAGGAAAGGGTTTATTTGGCTTATACTTCCATATTGCTGTTCATCATCAAAGGCAGTCAGGACAGGAACTCAAACAAGGCAGAGACCTGGAGGCAGAAGCTGATATAGAGGCCATGGAGGGGTGCTTGCTCAACGTGCCCACTCAGCCTGCTTTTGTTTTGTTTTGTTTTTCGAGACAGGGTTTCTCTGTGTAGCTTTGACGCCTTTCCTGGAACTCACTCTGTAGCCCAGGCTGGCCTCAAACTCACAGAGATCCTCCAGCCTCTGCCTCCCGAGTGCTGGGATTAAAGGCCTGCTTTCTCATAGAAGCCAGGCCACCTGCCAAGGATGGCACCACTCACAATGAACTGGGACCTCAATCAGTAATTAAGAAAATGCCCTACAGTCTGATGATCTTCTGGAGGCATTTTCTCAGTTGAGGCTCCCTCCTCTCAGATAATTCTAGCTTGTGTCAAGTTGACACAAAACTAGCCAGCACAAAGGGAATGCAAATATCACTGTGAGATAATTGAAAACTTGTTGAGGATTTGTTTCTCACGCCCCTATTTTCGCATTTGAACACCTGTTCATTCTAGGTAAGCCTTATGTATCCACAGTTAGGGACCCATCTCCTCTTAGTAGTCTTGTGCTTTCTGCATGAGATCCAAGCTCCATTATTTCTATGTAGCAAACTCGAAACAAAGGTTGGAGCTTGGAATGAAAATAAAAATGAAAGGAAACAAACAAACAAACAAAAACATCTGAAGCTTCGTTCTATTGCCAGAGATCAGGAAAGCAAACCTTTGCTTCATGGTTGGTTGTTTTCCTTCGATTCCTATCTTTGCCCTCCCCCACCCCTACCCTGCCCAGTGAACTTCATCCAGGCTACTTGGAAACCTGAGAGCTTATGTGTTCACTGATAAGCAAAGCTGTGTGTGCTAATCTGGGGATCAACAACAGCCCTTGGCAGGGGTGCCTCCAAACTCCCACACTCTCTTTCTGTTTCTTAGCTGCTTCACAGTTATGAGGTCCCTCAGCAGTGAAGACTGCCACCGTCTTGACTAGCAGGTCGGGCTAGCTGACTGGGTGTCCTTCAGTCATTTTGTCCAGGGTTCTGTCCTCATGCTGTGGGCTCAGTCAAAGGCACATTCACAGTCAGAGAATTACTGCAAACTCAGGCGTTAGACAAGTGTTTATGGGACCCAAGTTTCTTCTCTGCGGATGCTAAATTATCAAACCGCCGAAGGTCTCTATAAAGGAATTGACGAATGTTAACAGCTAGTTAACATTAGTGCAGAGATGTTGGTGGGTCACTAGTACCTTTGCTAGGAGAAAACTTAATTCAGATACACTTCAGACTTTTAGCTTATTAGTTTCTGAAAGTATTCCCTTGACCCAGAATTCTTGGGAAGGGGAAGATCTGTAGACAGCTTTTCTTGGATACTGATGGTTGGTCTTCTCTTTACAGGTACTACGCATCCAGGATGCTTTGTCCGATAACCCCAGGGTGAGCACACTCTATGCCAATGATGGCTCTGTGCTTCAGGCCAGCACTGTGGCTTCTGTGTACCGTGAGAAAATGCTCATAGGCACTGTGTTCCACAAAGCTCTGTATTGTGAACTCTAGATCTTTCTCCAAAATCTTCATAATTTTCATATTTGGCAAAAGTAAAATTATAATTGTATGCTAAATGGAACTATAATTACTTGCAATTATGAGGGACGTGTGTTTGGTTTTTCTTATGGAGAAAAGAAAAGGAGTATAGAAACATATCTACGAAATCAAGAGTCAAGTTAATGTTGAGCCAACCAGAAACCCATATATACTGCTTTGTCGGGTGTCCCCAATATCCTGTATATAGTGGGATATATGGCTGTGGTGACTGAGGGCTCCCGCTCACTTAGGTTTGTGTCTCTTGGTAACTGTTTACCAAAATTGCCTCCCACAACTGTGATATTCTGTGTCTACTGCAGTCCACTCTGGTGAAAAAAGACAATGTTTAACTACTTACAATTCTTACTCTCTTTTCTCTCTTGTGTGGGACACCATCTTACAATCAAGTATCCAGACCTATAACTCTCCTCTTGAGACCCCAAAGCCTGCCTTGGACTTGGTTTAGGAAATAGGATTCTGGAAATTTGACATAGACAAGTCTCGTCAGCTGGCTTAGTGCAAGCTATGCCAATGTGTTTGTTTGAATAAAACTTTATTTATACTGATACTTCCATTGTGAGGATCACTAATCTTGGCTCTGAATGTAAGATGGGCCTTGGGACAATCATCTTCAGTTTTCTCTATGAGAGAGCAGGAGAGCTAGACAGGGCCGTGACAGGTTCCTAGTAGCCCTACCAGAGACCAGGCCTTAGGTTTGGTTTACTGGAGCTGGCTGGAGCTGAGCAAGCAGTTCTTGGGAAAACCACAACTCAGAGGCAACCAATCAGCAGATGTCCCACAGCCTTCTGCTAGCTAAAGATAGCTTTCCCTACCCTGCTGCTGGGGAGTCCCCTAACTGATAGAGCCACCTACCGATCCTATAAACTTATTGTTTAAACCCACCAATCAGTACCCAGACTCATCTCTCCTCCCTGGAATTCCCCTAACCTTGCTTAAAAGGAGCCTGTGAGTTTCTCTCGGGGTCACCATTTGCCACTTTGTCAGATGGTTAGATCCCAACATGTTGGTAATTTTTAATAAATGCCCTTGCTAATTACATACATGACTGGTGGTCTTTTATGGGACTTTTTGCCAACCCTAACACTCTACTAGCTAACTCAAAAGACATTTAATGAGCACTCCAGCTGATTGGTTCCAATAAATCTAAAATGATTAGTATTATTATAGACAAACAGCATGTCCTAAGGACAAATCTAAACTTAATTTGATGATAATAAATAAAGACATTCATTTCTTGGTTAAAAAAAAAAAACAAGCAAATAACACAACAAAAAACACACACAATGACAACTTTTGTCAAATCATTGATGAACATCTATGCAGCCATGTTCCTTAGTGGAATTTCTGTTAGTGGTGGATTACCACCACCCCTCCAATACAATGTCTCTTCTAGTGATGGGGAATTAAGGAGACCTCTTTACATTCTAGAGAACACTCCTTAGCTAAAAGTTTTGTAAATAGTTTTGTACCAGAATAAAATGGTACTCTTTTAACCTTTGTAATCATTTCTGATTTAGACATTAAGATTTTATAACTTTCAAGGAAGGAATGGCCCAGCTGAATATTACAGGTAGTCATCATATTTTAAGTTTCAAAACATAGCTATATGTTGTGGGGAGTTAGCTTAGTTGTTATGGAGTTTGCCTTACAAACACGAGGAACTGAATTTGATCCCCAAACCAACATAAAAAAGCTAGGTGTGGTGGTATGTGCTTGTAATCTCAACACCAGAGGAATAGATTTACTGGGGCTTGCCAGCTGGCAGCTAGCCTATTTGGTGTACTTCAGGCCAGTGAGAAACCCTGTCTCAAACAACAAAAGCAAATAAAATGTGGATGATGCCTATAGGGCAACACCAGAGATTGTTTCCTGGCCTTCACACACATGTGTACACAAGCATGCACATGTTCATGCACACACAAAACGTAGTTATCAAGAAGATTCAAAATAAAAATAGAAATTAAGGCCATGCATATTTATAATTCAGTCCATTTTGAATAACCTGACAACCTTTTTTTTTTTTTTTTTTTTTTTAAATCTCTGACCCTCACATCTTCTGGATTACTTAAGATTTGGCTATTAAGGTTTTCCAAACAGACAAATCATAAGTTAAAACCCAAGACTCCAAAGAGCCGAATTTCCAGTTAAGGTCAAAGCAAACATAAACTATCCTGCACATTCTACTTCCAGAAGCCTAAAAGGAAAGTTGCCTTAGCACTGAGAAAAACAGAAGGAAGGGATTGGTTGTTGGTGAAAACTTATGATCACTGTAACCAGTGACTGTGGAAGACAGCACAGAAAACCTTGGCCATTTCTGCCTGCTCATGAGAACTGCACATCCCAAAAGTTTAATCCCTCTAAGAAGCGGTGTTCTGGATTAACTTGTTAATGATAGTTTGTACAACTAGTGAGACAGAAAATCAACATATAAATTTTAAAGTAGCTATGGAAAAATTCAGCAGTAGCTATATGCCTATTCCTTAAGAAGATTAAAAATAACTAAAACAAGAAATAATACACACTTGAGATGAACAAGAAAAAATTCTCAAATATATAATGTCAGAAATGAAAATAGAATATGCAGATGTCATGGGCACTAGAGAGACAGAAAAACTGATAAATTATTTTATACCAATAAATTTGGATATCTTGTGAAATGAAAGTAATTGGAAAACTATAACTTTATTAATTAGTGTTGAATCTGTTACTGTAACAAATAGAATAAAAATTCAGTGCCTACAAATGTACATCTATTTCTTTTATTTATGAGTCCTCAGGGACCACATCTTTTTAAGAAGTGCATTTATATTTATTTATTTATTTATTTATTTATTTATTTATTTATTTATTATGCATTTGTCAGAGGACAACTTAGAGCTGGTTCTCTTCTGCCATGTGGGTCCCACGCGTTGAAGCTGAGCCAGGTTGTCAGGTTTGGTGGCACGCACCTTCACCTGCTGAGCCGGCATTCTGGCTCCCAGCTGCTCTTCTTGATTACCAGAGACCCTCCTTGTCAGTCTCCACAGGAGAGAGAAGCCACACTGAGAAGGGCTGCTGAGGGAAAGTCTTAAGAGATCTTCGTTGTATTTTGAGGTAAGGTCTCATGTTGCCCGGACTGATTTTGAGCTCTCTATGTGGTCATGGATGACGTTGAACTTGCGATCCTCCTGTCACTATTGTCCAACTGTAGGTGTGCAGCACCACCACCATGAGCTCCGGGGATTGAATCTGTCACCCTGCGTAAACACTCTACCGCCTCAGCTGCACCTCTAAGCCTGGAAGGACATTTTAAGAGGGCGCTTGGTATAAGGGCAGGACTCACAGGAAACAAACAAATCTAATAAGGTAGTGTGAGCATTGGGGAGGGTGAAGTGTGGTGGTGAGAGGTCCTGAACTCTTTCCCTCCCTGGGTTTTGCAAGCATATTTGCAGAAACAGCTACATAAAAATATTTAGCCAACATGTAACCACTCAATAAAGAGACAATGGAGGGAACAATGATTCTTTTCCTTTCTTGTTTTCTTTTAATTTTGAGACAGTTTCACTTTAAGTGCAGGCTGGCCTTGAACTCTCGGATCCTCCTACTTCAGCCTCATTAGTGCAGGAATTACCAGCATAAGCCATCACACCCAACTTGATTTCTTTTTTCTTTTACCCTCCCAACTAGAAGTCAGAAGACAGGAGCTTTGCATGGGGGCCTTAGAGCCACCTGCATGCCAGTCAGCAGGGAGTCCATAACAGAGTAACTTTAGCAGGGCATGGTCTTCTTCATGGTCCTGCATGGCGGAAGCCAGGTCACACTATCTGTGGTCCGTCAAAATCAAAATGGAAATAGAAAAATGAGAAAAGATATGAAGGAGCAATAGAGCTCAGAACCAGATATGGCATTCATCACTTCCCTCCCAGTACTGAAAGCTAATTGCATGGCCATATCTAACCATGAATTGCATGGCAAAGAGAGATGGGTAGTGGCATACAGCCAGAGACCAATGTGTTCAAGAAGAATGCAGAATAAAGTTTAGTGAAAAATTCATCTGTACCTCACACATTGAATTCTTCCCTCTCCCCAAAGCTCCATCTAAATCCTACCTGTAGCTCAAAGTTCAAAATCATGCTATGATGTTCTAATGTCCACATTAGTTCCAGATGTGGCTGCAGGTACAAGGCTAGAAAATAGAAATCTTGTCTCCATCATATCCAATTGCAGTAATTGAGTGTGACCACTAGTGAAATGGAAAACCAAATGTCTTCAACACTCTGAAGTACTACCTAGTAATGAGACTGTCCCATCACAGAGGAACCAAAATGTTCCCTATCCTAGCCAACATCTATTCTCCAAGGTCTTCTGCAATATGAAAATTCCATAACTCAAAATGTTTTCCGGTCAATGAAGCTTCAAGGCAGAATCTGAAGGGGATCTTGGGAAGACTGTATTTAATATCCTACTTTTGAGAGGTGTCAATGTGAGAGTCGGGACATTTTTAGGCTGGCCTCCCTTCCAGTCACTTCTGAAATCAAGCACCCTGGAAACACAACAGGCTTCTAGTCTGTTTCCTTCCGGTTAGCGTCTGTGCCAACAATGGCTCCCAGATTCCATTTCAGAGCACAGCTCTGACTTTACTTTCCGGACTCATGACCCGTTTCTTACTCCCTTGTTTCAGTTCTATCTCCTTGGTGACTGAATAAAGGAGTGGTAAGGAAGAGCTTTGCTATTGCAGTCCACAGGGCTGTGTCTCTGGTTTTCTTAACTGGGAGGCAGTGGCTGCCACAATATTACCTCCTGCTGTTGAGACACTGAATCAAATCTCTACTTTGGATATTTTCTCTGTTTTTTTTTTTTTTTTTTTTTAGTTCTTTTCTCAATCATTTTATTTTACTGTTTTATTTTACAGTGCTGAGAATTGAACCAGGGCCTTGCATATGCTAGGTAAATACTCTGCTCCTGAGCCACAGTGACAGCCCAGATGTCTCCCCCGAGATCGTACCCGAGTCCCTAGCTTTCTCATGGTCCATTGACAAAAACCTCAGGCAATAGGCTGGCTGGCAAACGTTCTGATCATCTCAGTGGAAGTGACTGGCCTTTCAAATCACTGCAGCAAACAGTGGGACTGACTGTTTTCTGATAACAAAACAAGGATTCCCAGTTTTGCAACTACGTGACACCACTCACCTTTGAACTTGTGTTTAAAGTTTTATATAATCCACTTCTTGGCTCAAATTCCTACATGTTTAAGCTCACCTTAAGTGGTTGAAACTGAGAGCTCCTTAAATATAGATGCTTACAGAATACAGACAATGCTGGATGATCATGGTGTTTTAGATACAGACATTGCTGTATGATCATAGTGTTTTAGATACAGACATTGCTGGATGATCATGGTGCTTTAGATACAGACATTACTAGATGATCATGGTGCTCTAGATACAGACATTACTAGATGATCATGGAATTTTAGATACAGACATTGCTGGATGATCACAGTGTTTTAGATACAGACATTGCTAGATGATTGTGGTGCTTAAGATACAGATACTGCTGGAAGATAATGGTATTTTAGACAAGGGGAGACCAGGGAGGTCAGTTTTCTGGACTTGACCTCCATTTAGTCCATTATTAATTGTGTGACTCTGGCCTCTGGGTTTCAGATTTCTATAAATTCAGTTAATACAGGGATTATCATTTACCTTTAGTAACTACCTTTTTTTTTTTTTTGATTTTTCGAGACAGGGTTTCTCTGTGTAGCTTTGTGCCTTTCCTGGGACTCACTTGGTAGCCCAGGCTGGCCTCGAACTCACAGAGATCCGCCTGCCTCTGCCTCCCGAGTGCTGGGATTAAAGGCATGCGCCACCGCCCGGCTTAGTAACTACCTTTTAACAAACCTAAAGTTGAGGCAGTAATAATAACTACAGCCTACAAGTGATAGAAGGATTAAAAATATTAATATATATTAATGAATGAACAGTGCTTATTATATGACAGTGTTGAATCTTGAGCAACATGGAGATTTCAAGACCAACTTTGGACAAATGCTTCAAAGTAAAAAAGAAAAAAATTAAAAGGGCTAAGAATGTAGCTAAGTAGCATAGTGCTTGTGTGACATACACAGTTGTGGTTCAAACCTCAGCACTGCCAAAGAAACAGCTTCTAAAGATCCCACATGACTGTTTCAACTCATTGTGAAAAGTTTGGCCCTTATGTCCAACTAGGACAAAGAGCTTCCCATTCGGTTATCCTGTAGGACAATTCTGTATGTATCTTGGAGATCAAAACCAGTTTACCAGCCCAGTGATAGTGATACACGCCTTTAATCCCAGCACTCAGAGGCAGAGGCAGGCAGATCCTTTTTAGTTTGAGGCTAGCCTGGTCTACAGAGAGAGTGCTAGGACAGCTAAGGCTATACAGAGAAACCTGGAAGTTCCACAGCTTCAGAACGGGCGTTCTAACTGTATAGAAGTTTGTTGAGACGTGGAGACTAGGAGGCTGGTTAATTTTGATGCATGGTACTCTTTATTTGCAAGTTTTTAAAACTTTGTATTGACTATTTGTAGATTTCACATTATACATTCCCATTCCATTCATTTCCCTGTCCCTTCATCTCCCTCCTCTGCCCTTGAACCCCCCCCCCAAAAAAAATAAAATAAAATTTAAAAGAAAAAAAAATTTTGTTATGTCATGGAAGCTGTAGTCTGTCCCAGTGAGTCACACAGTTTAACCTTTAGTCCCTGTATCTTTACTTGCAAATGTTCATTGCAATGAGTCATTGGTCTGGTTTGAGGCCTCTGGCTTCTGTCACATTATCTGGGTTTTCACTGGGACTGCTCTTGCATACCCTGTTGTTGCCCTGTGTTGTGGAGATTCTGCAGCTTTGGATCTGCAGGACCAGCCCCTTCACATGCTCCAGCAGTTCATGGGTAGGGTGGATGTCGGGGTGGGCCAACTCATGGCCCTGGTTCTGGACCTTGGTGGTGGCTGGGTTGGTCAGCCTGTCAGCTCTCCCTCATCCTCACCACCAGGGTAAGCTCTCCAGCATTACCCCATCTAGCGCACCCAATGTGGCAGGCAGGCAGCAAGGGGTGGGGCCAGTTCTCCTACTTTCGTGCCCTGGGGGTGGCTCATTCACACCCACACCCACACCCACACCATCCCAGCCAGCTCTACTGTGTTGCTCAGGCAAGGTGCAGGACCCACTCCCCTGAGTGCTGCAGCCAGTGACAGGCAGGACCAGTTCTCCCACTCTCATGACCCCGGGGCGCTCTCCTGCCTACCTCAAGTGGTGAGGAGGAGGGGGAATCTCTCACTCACCCACACTGCCGTGTGGCAGATGAGTAGTGGGGCCATCTCTCCCACGCCCACGCCCTCAGGGTCAGGTCCCCCTTACCCCTGCTGACAGGGTCAGCTCCACTGTGCTGCCCAGATGAGGTATTTGCAAGTTTTTTTTTTTATAATATAGTTTTAGTAAAAGAGTTTGGAAATTTTTGTATAACTCTATAATCACTAAAAAAAATGAGTTTAAGAAACTGACATGAAACAAAACTAAATCCTAAAAACAGCTGTGCCCATAAATACTTAAAGAAATACAATGATTAGAATACAATACAGCATTGTACAGTATAGATAGAGCCATACATAATAATGAGGGTGTAGTTCACATATAATGCCAAGCTAAAGTGCGTGAAAATTAATCCACATTGTAGGTCTTTATTTGGGGAGTTCCAAAAGAGGCAAAACTGACTAATATTGTTTGGGGGATGTGTGCATAGGTGGTTAAGCCAAACAGAATATGAAGGTGGTGGTCATCATAAACAACTAGGTGTTGGTTGGTTCTAGGAAATATGGGGAGTGTGACAATAGAAAATATAGGGGAGTTTTGTAGGATGCAAGGAAAATCCTCTCTCATTCCAAGACAAGGGAATAGATGAACACCAGAATTAGAAAGATCCAAATGCTAACAAGATACAGACAAGTAGTATATTAGGAACCCTTGACAATAACAAAGTGGGGATATTAACCCCAAGGAATAGCAGGGTGGATGGTGTGAAGAAGCAATTTACAGAAACAAGAAAAATGAAGCACATGAAAGATGTTCTGAACCCTTAGTAATCAGAAAAGTGCCAATTACAGAAGCTCTTTTAAATTACTTTATACCCACCAAGCCAGCGAACATTAAAAGACTGGTATGGGCAAGTGTTGATGGGGAAGTGGGGAGACAGGGAACCTTACCCACCACCAGTGGGAAAGCAAATGCGTGCAGGGATGACAGATGCTCTCTATTCGCCACGCAGCAGAAAAGGCTTTGTCCATCTAGGATGACCAGGAAAGGGAACAAGGAGAACTTAGCACAGCTCATGCACATCAGGTTGCAGACTTTGCGCATCAGGTCATCTCCGTGCTTCTTCAAACCAACTGGTGAATCCCATCAGCCACAGAATGCCGTAGACTCTAGGAAGGAAAACTTGAATGCAGCGCAGGTGGAGCAATCTGCAGATCACTATCAATTTCCACGACAGAAAAAACATTGGATTTTTACAGTAAGTCTGCATACAGACTGAATATCTGAGAGAATATGCTGTTCATGAGTGGGTTCCAGACAAGGCCACTGGTCTTCAACATCATAAGACTGTGAGCTAAAAGCATGCCAATAGATGAGTAAATGTTGAAAACAATAGTCAGACATGCCAGCACACAGATTTAGATTCCTGACTCTTCCCCTGTCCTCATCTTGCTGGGAATTTCCAGAACAGTTTCTAATGAGCTTTAAAAAAAAAGTGTGGATAACCCCTAGATGTTGTAATTTTAAGGAACCAGATATAGATATCGAACATAAATCCAGGCAACCAGGCAACCTGTTTCAACATCTATCTGAATGTTTAACAGATTTTAACTAATCCTGGTGTCTAAGTTACTATGATAAAATTATTTTATAAAAACGACTTTATTTCAAAGGAAGGCTTTCTGATGGCCCACAGTTCAAAGGTACAGTCCATCATGCTGAGGAAGTCAAGGCTCCGAGATTTGTTATTTTCCATGCTGGGTTTTGGTCATGCTTTGTTATGCTCATTCCTTGATATGTCCCACTTCCCTCTTGATTGTTGGAAATATGCAATTTGTTTTTCATTTTATAGGAGCTCATGGGTAGGAGATTGCCTTGAGTTTTAGATGAGACTTGGACTTTGGACTTTTTTTTTTTTTTTTTTGGTTTTTCGAGACAGGGTTTCTCTGTGTAGCTTTGCGCCTTTCCTGGAACTCACTTGGTAGCCCAGGCTGGCCTCGAACTCACAGAGATCCGCCTGGCTCTGCCTCCCAAGTGCTGGGATTAAAGGCGTGCGCCACCACCGCCCGGTCTGGACTTTGGACTTTTAAAGGATGTCAGAATTGTTAAAAACCATAAGGGATTTAAAAATTGGACCAAATACATTTTTGCATGATAAGATGGCTATGGAATTATGCAGACAAGGTATAGAAGGCTACGACTTACAAGTCTTATGTTTGAGAGCAATTGACAGGAGAAGGATTTGTACTCATTTAGACTGATAGTCAGTGTCTTAGTGTCACTTAGAAAAGGAGCCTGTGGGTGCTCCCGTGAGGGACTTTTTTTTTAAATTAGGTTAATAACTGAGGCACTAAGAAGATCTACTCCGAATGTGGGCAGCACTATTCCATGGGCTGAATCCCTGGACTATGTAAAAAAGAGAAGGGAGCTAGGGAATGATATTCATTGTTCTCTGCTTCCTGGTTGTGGATGCCAGTGATCCTTAGACTGCCGGTGCTGTGACTCCCCTGCTACCGTGGACTGTACCTTTGAACCATAAGCCGAAATAAATGGTTCCTTCATTAATTTGCTCTTGTAAAGGTTCAGGAAAGAAACACAACAGCTGAAAATACTACTCACTCTACTTTGCCAAAATTTAATAGTCCATTTTTTGCCCATTAACACATTTGCCGTTATTTCTGAGGTTGATTTGTAGGCATGAGTCCTTTGCAGATGCATGCATTTGAAACATGTTCATCCATGCTTTGGTGAGTTTTACCACTTTTGCAAACCTATCTTGATTAACTTGATTAACTGCAATTTTGGTGAAGTTCAATTCATCAGTGTTTTTGTTTAAGGATATTGCTTTTTGTATCCATTCATAAAATCTTCATGGTCCCCAAGGCTCTTAAGTATGTTTGCTTGATATTTTATGAAGGGGTTATTGTTATGCATTTAGATGTATGAGATAGCTATAAAATATTTTGAAGCATTCTCAAATTAGGGATTAAGATTCACAGACATGTACATAGTAATGAGTTTAGTGTCCTTTACAAAAAGAAACTCTTCAATCCACTGCATCCTACTGGCACTTTGCCTTGAATAAAATGAGGACACAGGTCTG